TCAAACCCAGTGCGCACATCCACTATCTATACCCAAAACCACAACACCAGCACCCAACGAGCCCTTCGACCATTAATTCCCCATAATACCTATCAAAAAACCAAAAAATAAATAAAATTCACATAAAAAATACAAAAAAATTAAACATAGTCCTCCCCATAAGGAGGAACCTAACGTCAAGCTACCTGTAAAAACAAAAAGAATAATCAACAGTTGCGATTTAAAAAAAAAGAGAAAAAAATTGAATATTTAAACCCCGATCTACGTCGATTGAGGTTATTTTTGACGAAACGAACACTGGATCTAGAAAGAGCATGTTGAGGAGGATTTTTGGGGAGTTTTTGGTATTTTTTTAATTATCGATGACTATTGACAGTAACACTAGACAGCGACCAACGCGACAGTACAGGTTGTTGATGGCTGAACGGTGGCAAAGCTCTACAACTCTAAATTTTTTTTTTTTTCAAAAGAGGATAAAGTGAAAGAAAAAAAATTTTAGGTTTTATATAAGGTTAAAAAAATCTAAAATGACGTCATTTTAAGCCAAGAAAGATCCACATGTGAACTCGGATCTGACTCGAGATTCACGTAACTCGACCTGGCAACCCTTCCTTCAACTAGCCTTGAACTGGTTCAATCGAATCCTCATCAAACCGCCCCTCATACGATTCAACTAAATTGAACTGTCGAACCGTTGAGCGACCTAGATAGGTGTTAACCGGACCATTAACCGATCTGGTTCAAGTAAATTTTTTTTTAATTTTCTAATTTTTATATTATTTTTTTTATTATTTTGAGTTTTATTTTTAATATTTATGCACGATAAATTTTTAAACTTGTTAGAATAATTTTTTGATTGTTTTTAATAATAATAAAATTGGAAACAATATAAAAATAATAATAATAAAAATAATTAATGAAATATATGGTTAATTTTTTTATATAAACCTTATAGAATAATAATAATAATAATAATAATAATAATAATAATAAAATATGTATAAAATGCTTATAAAATAGAGTAATAATTTTTTCCCTGCCTAGATATTGAAGGAAATAAAAATATTCTTCTAAAAATAATTTTGTATAGATGTTAGAGAATTATAAAAAAGAATTCAAAAAAGTATAAAAAAGGATAACAATTAATAATAATAAATTTTCATAAAAAGGAAATATATGAAAAGTATTTTAATTAATTTTCAAAAATCATAAAAATCGAACCTGTTTCAAAAATTCACCTAAATGTTAGAGATTTTTAGAGATATTTCCGTTTTTTTTAAAACTAAAAAAACTAACCCTAAATCTCAAACCCTAAAATCGAAACCTCAAAATTCAAACTCTAAAATCAAAACTCTAGACCTCAAACCTTAATTTCAAAACCCCAAACCTTAAAACTAAAACCCTAAACACTAAACCCTAAAATCAAAACACTAAACCTTAAACCTAAAACCAAACCCTTAAAACCCTAACCCTTAAATTGAAACCCTAAAATCTCAAACCCCAAAATTCAAAAATCTAAGCCCTAAACCCATCCAAACCCTAAACATCGAAACTCCAACCAAACCCTTAAAACCATAGATCCTCAAAACCCTAAAATCCAAAAATCTTAAAATGCAAAATCCCAAACCTCAAATCTTAAAACCCCAAAGTTGGCATGCAATCTTTAATTATCACCAAAAAATTATTCAAACTTTAAAACCTCGACCCATAAACTCATACTCAAAACCATTCCAAAATTCTAAAGATACGTGTGAAAATCACACTTAAAATAATTTGTTCTTGAATACCACCTAGATGATGGGATATTTAAGAAACTTTATTTCATTAAGTTTTCATACGAGTCCTTAATTTGCATTAATAAAGGGATTAAACAAACAAAAGAACAGGAATAATGTCACCTTAAATATAAATCGTCACACATACGCTCTGCCTAGATGTTGAAGAGTCAATGTGGTCTCATTATATTTAAAAATTCATTTTTAAATTGTATTTCATTACCTTGTATAACAACCATTGGCATACATACATCATTATGTTATTATTGAGATTCGTTTTGTATTTTTCTATCTTTAATTTTTATTTGTTATCTGATAATACCATCATTTACTTTCTTGTATAAAATGCTTTACAAAAAAAAAAAAAAGAAAATATGTATTTTAAAATTATGATATTATAAAATAATATTCCAAAGAAAATAATTTTTGATACTCTACCTAGACATTGGAGAGTAACCAACAATTATCTTCTACCAATAGTGTTATTTTCTTTTTAAGAAATATTGTATTAAATCTCAAGCGAAAAGAGTTACTTTAAATTCTACCTAGATGTTGAAGAATTTTAAGATAGTTCTTTAACTTAAAGATTTTCTTGATATTCTTAAATAAAAAAATTTGATAAAATTAATTTTCTTTTTAAAATAACAAAAGAGAATTATTATTAAATTTCAAATCGAAACCATTTTATTTAACACTGAAAATAGCGCATAATTAATTGATACCAATTTATAGGTGTTATGAGGTGCTAATCTTTTCTCATGCATAATCGACTCTCAAACTCAAGATCTATTTTTATAGATCAAAATTTATCTTTTGATAAACTTTATACTCATTTTTATAATTTATTTAAAAGATAAATTTTTTGATCATCAATCATATCCTAAAAAAGGATTAGTAATGATTTTTTTTTTATGTTAAAATCTTTTATGTCTACAGTCTCAAAACCGTTATGATATTATTATTGAAAAGAAAAAGAAAAAGAAGAAAACGTGTGGAATTTTGTTGAGTGGCATCTGTGTCTTCCGCCCATGGTCCACCTCACTGCAAATCAAGCACTCTCCTATGATACTTTCTCGGGGTTTTTCAAATTTTATTTAATAATTTGATAGAATATATTTTTGGGCTAACAATTAATTAAAGCATTGAATTAATCCGGCTCATATATATGAATTTTAAAAAAATAAATTATAAAATAAGTTTAGAAAAGTAGATCTTTTATTAAGGAAATTAAATAAGAGAAACAATATAAACATCTAAAGAAGGCTATTTGGGGCGTGTAATGAAAATAAATATGCGATAAAAAACATTTTCATTCGAAAAAGAAAAAAAAATCAAAATTTATTTTGTAAGTAAAAAATCATTGATTCAAATATTCGGATCCATATATTTTATTTTAATTTTTACTTTTACAAAAAAAATTGTAAATTTATAGAGTTGAGATAAACAATCTGGTAACAAATAATTTATTAGGAATTGATTCAAGTGCCTTTGAATATAGGGAAAATGACTAGCCATAGCTCTTGCGAATTAATGAAGTGGAAAAAAAAAAAGATTGGTCCTCTCCCCCTACTACCGTATTTTCTGTACTAATAAATAATTAAAAGATTGCTAAAGCCGCCCTAATGCTATTCTTATAACAAATATAGATTGTGCATGGTTGCTTCCATTTTTTTTTATTTTTAATTGTTAAGTTATATTGTACATTATTGTTCGACTTTAATGTCCAATACGAGATAAATTGAATTCTCTCACAATTATAATATATTTTTTTCTATTTTAATTGTATTTTTCTATATTTTTAGTAGGTTATGAATAGATCTATTTAAAGGTCGAATTATTTGTTTAAATCTAAAAGTTCGTTTAAATTTTAAAAGAATTTAGATAAAAAATTAAAATTCGTTAAACAAGTTTAGAATTAATTTTTTTTACTTATATAAATTTTGAGCCGAACCTTAAATAAAATATTTAAAATCCAAGTCTGAACCAACTTGAATTCACATATATATATATTATATATATATGTGAATTATACTTAAATTAATTCACATATATATAAATTAAAAATAAAAATTATATATTTTATTAAACTTTATTTTTATTTTTAATTTATATATATATGTGAATTGAATATAATCTTATTAAATTTAATTTAATCACATTTTTTAAAAAAATTTATTATATAAATTAAGTTTTGAATTTATTTTTTTAATTTAGGTCAAATTTAAAAAAATTTTGAATCAAATTGAGTCTATGCAAGTATATAAACTATTAATATCAAATATAAATCAATTCAAATTCGATCCAATCTGATCCATAAACACCTTTAATTATGAAACTAATTTTATGAGTAAATTACATCATTAGTGTTTCAACTTGTGGTAATGTTCCTATTTTTATTTGTGTCTTAACATAAACTTCTGAAATTGTTCTGAATCATTCGATTGTAAATAGTTGTTAAAATTTAGATGGTTTATGGATGAAATTTATCACATGAACACTTTGATAGACATGTATAGAATATGGATAAATCATCCAAATCAAATTCGAAAAAAAAAAAAAAAAAACGTAAATGCATGCATAGAATAAATTAACAAAATGGTGATGACGAAAAGCAATGACGTCGCAACCTGTGAAGGCTATGGCGATTGTAGGTAATTGGGGGTTCAAAAGAAAAGCGATCAAAGGAAAGCAGAGAGCCATAGATTTCTCGTTTGCTTTGCATGGAATAGCAGCAAGTTGAGGGCTCAGGGTAGAGCCATGCCCACCACCCAGAGACCACAGCCGCCTAAGCAATATAGCAATTAGCAAAAGCATCAACGAAAAGTAATAACAACAATTAATTATCAAGCCAATAAAAAAAATTTTAACTTACCATTTTACTTGATCAATTCACTATTAATTGGAAGAACATCCTTGTATGTTAATCGCAGCTTAAGTTTTAATTCAACTATTTTATATATTCATACTCCAATTTTTGTTTATTTGCCTAATTAAAGTAGACAAAATTGGAGATCACTTGAATGAATAAAAATAGACAACTTGTTTGGAAGAGAAGAAAATTAAAAAAGAAAAGAAAACGATTCCCACGGAACTGATAAATTAAACTTTACTCGCACACACAGAAAAAAAAAAAAAAAAAAAAGTCAAAGCGTCAAACTTTCAAAGCTTGTTGCTATTTGCTAACTATAATTACCATCAAGCTTAAGTGTTTAATTAATTAATTAATTAATTTGTTTAATTAAACCCCAAGTTCCCATTGCGGCTTTGCACTCCTCCATTTCAAACCAATCTCCATCTATAAAAACCCACTTCTCTATCTTCCCTGTATTAATTCAACTCTCTTTCTCTTTTTCTCTCTGTCTCAGTTGATTGCTCTATATCACAATACTTTATTTTGTCTTTCAAGTTTCAGTAAATCAGACTCTCCATTTAAGGAAAAATGGATGTTAAAGCAAGGGGTTGTAGAGGAAACGTCCAAAGTGAAGAGGATCCGATGGACTTGAGACGGGGTCCTTGGACTGTTGAAGAAGACTTTAAGCTCATCAATTACATTGCTACTCATGGCGAAGGTCGATGGAACTCCCTTGCTCGTTGCGCAGGTAAATACCATAACCCATGCAACCCTTCTTTTGGTTTGGTGATGATGTCGAACAACAAACATGTAGCTATAAGGAGAAAGCTTTGCCAAAGCACAACAAGTTGACAAGTTGATTTCAACTTTGTTTTGGGTGTCTTGCTTTTATCTTCATGTTGTTTGCTTTCTTCTTTAATCCCTCTCTTTCTCTCCTCTCTTTTCTAAAAAAAGTGCAAAGAAAAAAAAAATCAAGGGTTTGATTCTTTTCTTTTTCTCCAACTGTTTTGATTGATCCTGAGGATTTGATCTGTATATAAGAAATACCAACTTGTTAAAAAGCAAAAGCTGCACGTTTCATGGAAAAGCTACAGCATATTTAGAGAATTTGTGGCTTTGAATGTGAGGTTGATGATGTTTGTATAGGAGAGTTCAATCATGATAGTTTTTAACCAAAAGCTACAACTCATTAAAAAAAAAAAGTAGTATAGGAGAAAATGCCCTTTCTTTTTCTCCCAACATATGTTTTCCAAAATAACTTTACCAAAAACTTGTCGTGTCTAAATTCTATACAATGAAACAGGTCTCAAGCGGACAGGAAAAAGCTGTAGATTGCGATGGTTGAATTATCTCCGCCCCGATGTTCGACGTGGGAACATCACTCTTGAGGAACAACTTTTGATTCTTGAACTTCACTCTCGTTGGGGAAACCGGTAAATATTTTAACCTTAACTCTCTCGATCAGGTTATGATGTTTGTTTTTTTTCACACAATTTACAGAGATTTTAATTTTTGAACGATTACAGATGGTCCAAAATCGCCCAACACTTGCCTGGAAGAACCGACAATGAGATTAAGAACTATTGGAGGACTCGTGTTCAGAAACATGCGAAACAACTGAAATGTGACGTGAACAGCAAGCAATTCAAGGACACCATGCGTTACCTATGGATGCCTAGGTTAGTTGAAAGAATTCAAGCTGCTGCTGCCGCTACAGTCAACTCCACCACCACCACTACCACCACCTCCGCCTCCACAACCGCCAACGTGGGCACAGGGCAAATGGTATTGACCCATGGGGTTATAAGCAATGATTTTGGAGGTGTAGCACAAGTAACCCCAAGTTACACCCCAGAGAATTCAAGCACTGCAGCCTCATCAGACTCTTTCGGGACTCAAGTTTCACCGGTTTCGGATTTGACTGATTATTACAGCACCATCCAGGTTAATAACAACCCTAATCCGGATTATTTCCAAGCTAGCCAAGTTGGTTACTCTGATCACTCCTCCTCCTTAATAAGTCCCTCGGGTAATTACTACAACCTTGGCATAGATTTTCAGTCCATGGATCAGCAGAACAACCTCTGGTTAGATGGTGTTGATGCATCAGACAACTTCTTGAACGCAGAGGATGTTTTGTTCTTACAGCAACAGTTCAACTTCAACATGTGAAAATATCTTACTAATAAATGACGGGGGAATGAAATTCAACTGTAGAGGAGAAAAAAACAAAAAGAAAAAGGACAAGGAAGGAGAGAAGATGATATAGAGTAATACTTTAGAACACATGATATAGAATTTGTCTAATTGTGGATCCCTTTGGTTTGTATTTTGTTATAAATATTTTCTTTCTTTTTCTTTTATTTGGGGAAAAAAATTGTAATTTTAGGCTTTTGTTTTGAATTAATCATTTAATCTCATTCATTGATATTGACTTAATTGATTTTCCCCTTTTCTTCTTCTTTTTAAATTAAAAATAAGTTAAAATAATTGGATAGATGTGAATAATTGGTTCCACCATATGTTTTTAACACTACATTATATATATATATATATATATATGTATATATTAATCTTATTCTACTTTTGCGACTTTCTTGTCCATGGGGCATGAACCAGAGACACTAATCTTTTTCCCCTAAGGCTTCTAGATTACAAAAAGGCATAGCTTAAGCTTAAGTTGGGGATACGTGGCGGCATCTCATTCGTCCGTTTACATGTTAAGTTGGCCATTAAGAGACTTTTGGACATTCAAAAACAATCAACTTATCTTGTTTAAAACTTCAATTTTCTAGTTTTGTTTTGTTTGCTTCGTACGGACCATGTCTTTTGCTTCATCCCCGTTTAACCAGACAGCTTTTTATATTAGTGCTGTTTAACTAAATTCCATTCACATCTCTATTAGAAGGCTTTACGGTTTGGTTCGGGTTCGTTTAATTTAAATTTATTATTAAAATATTAAATAAAATTATTTAGTAATAAAATATTAAATATTTTGATAATTTGATTGGACAATAGATTTAATTTCGATAAAATTAAAATTATTTTTTAAAAATAATTTTGTTTATTTTATACTTAGGATGCAAATTTTGTGAATATAAAATTTTCTACTATTTTTTTTTAAATGGAAAACGAGAAAGGTTTATTATTGATGATATATAATTTACTTATAAAATAATAATTAAAAAAAGAAAAGGACTTGCACGTGCGAGGATAAGGAGAAGGTGAAGCACGTGATGGAATAGTGTAGAGAGAGAGAGAGGATGACGGCGGCTGGGAATCTTTGTAAGCGTAAGCCGCGTGCCTAAGGAAGAAGCCACCGATGTGGTCCCATGACTGTATGTGTTAAAACGACGACACGCGTGGATTGAAGGAATTAAAATATAGTTAGTATGTACTCCAAACTGCAAAGCACTTACAGCCGCAACTCTTGAAACAGCCCTATCTACGCAACAATTCCACGTCAGACTCACCTATCCTTTCCTTTATTTTTTTTATAATAATATAAAATGAAGGAGAGAAGGCTCGATTAGTTTAGTGACAAACGAAACTGTGTTGCCGTGCTGAGTGCTGACCGAGACGTGATTATAGAAATAGCCCTTTTATTTTTTAAAAAATCAAGGTTCCGATTAACTAATATATCATTCATTTGATTTTTATAAATTTATTTTTTATAATATAATTTTCATGTTTCATTTGAATTTAATTTTTTTCAAATAATTCTAGAATAAATATTTTCACATTAATTTAATATATTTAGAATTGAATTGCATAGTACTTGTTGCGACGATGAATCTGCGTTTAGAATAAATGATAAATATAATATTATAAATATTTAAAATATAATTTGAATTTAAATTGATTTTGTTTTAAAATTAATTTGATTCAAATTGAATTTTATCCATTTATTTTAGGTTTTCAATTTTTAAAATTTATTTTTTTATTTTAATATAATATTTTAATAAATTTTTAATATATTTAAATAAAATTATATAAAAAATAATTATTTTATTTTATAAAAATTTAAAAAAATATAAAAATTAATAAAAATATATAATTCATTTTGATTAATTTTTTTTTAATTTTTTACATCTCATTCTAAAATTTTATATAAACTTAATACAAATATTTAATATCTAAATTTAATTTAAATTAAATAAAAAATTTATTCAAATCAAATAAAATATTACTATTTCAACGGGACCTAATAATATTTTGTGGGTCCATCCAACTGATTATTTTTTTTTCCCTTGTGATTGAGTGATTGAGCAAGCGGCAAGCCTGAAATCTGAATAGTGGACGGTTACTGTATGGAAAGCTACTCTTCATGGCCCTTATAGCGACAAAGTTTTGCAGTAGTGCCTTGCTAAGGGCCGGGGGGGGGGGGGTCCTTCAGGTACTGCCATTCATTTTGATTTAAAGCATATGATACCCCCACTTCTGCATTTCCTGTGCGTGTGAAATGTGATTTAATTTTCTTGTGTCAGGGCGGTCAACACTAAGAGAAGTCTTTTATGAGCCATCAGAACATGAATGAGATGTTACGTCAATGCTTTATCCCTGAAATAAAGGAGGAAAGAATGCGAAATTAGGAGATGAAGAAGAGATTATGTAGTTTTGATTTTGCTTTGCAAATTTCAAAATACTGTGTTACTTATAATATGTTAACCTAACACCATAAATAAATAAATAAATATTTCGATAAAAAAATTAATTATTAATATTTAATTTTTGTATAAAATAAAATATAAATATATAAATTTTAATATTTTATATAATATAAACAAACAAATAATTAAGTCTATTTAACGATGATTAAAAAAAAATAGAGGAAGGGGGTAGGTAAAGTTGTGACGTACTTAGCCTTATTGTCAAGGGCAAGAAGTACCGATTGCTATACATTGCCCCCACTTCCACTTCCTCAACGCTACTATTTTCCACATTTAGTCTATATATTATATACGAAAACATTATTCTAAAGAGGTGGAAGTCACTGCAATTGCATCAGTAAATTTGAAACAGCTTCTTGTTTATTTATGGGCTTTAATTTTGTAGCTGCCTTCTCTTCCTAAGCCTCCAAGAAACTGCCATAGGGGCTTCTAATTAAAGCTTGTTTTGATTCTTTCATTTATGTGATGATTGAATTAAGAATGAAAATACTAGATTTTTAATTTTAATGATTATGATTTCAAATATGAAAATAAATTAACAAAAAATAATTTACGTATTTATTAGATGAAACCTCACAAATTAGAAAACAAAAAGAGAGATTAGCTCATCAAATTAAGTTCCATTAAGCCAAAGACCACCATATACACACTAATTCAGATGTATAACTAGTAATTTATAGAGGCATACAAGTGTGAGGGCATTGTTTGGTAATAAGGATATAGTTATTTTTTTATCATAAGAGAATGCTTTATAATTGAATCAAAGTTATTTTGATCGTTTAATTCTGACTAATGTTGTAAACCCTGAGCACATCTCACCAATGTCAACCTAGCAAGTTATCAATCTTTCAAATATAAATACTCCCTCACCCCTTTTAAATGGGGGCCAATTTTTCTTCTTAATTTTTTTATTTATATTTTTGAGCTTTTTTTGTTTTTTTATTTCACTTATTAGAGCATCGAAACACAAATGTTGAAAACAACTCTAGCCTTTGCTCCTAACTAACATCTAATTTGTGATTTCAGGTTCTTATCCTTTTGTCTAAGCTTAGCACCAACAATAAATTTTGAAATGAACTTTTGTCCTTAATCTTTAGTACCATTTCAAGCCATTTGACACTGAATGAATGGTATGTATCCACACTACATGCCATACCTTTCTCTTTCTTTCTTTCTTTCTTGTTTTCCAATTGCGTGAAGTTTCATTTTGAAACGATCCTTTTCAAGTCCTCTAGCTAGCCACAACTTTGATGGAGTTTCAACCAAAAGTTATGAATGAATCAACGCCATATCTTTCAATTCCTATTGCTTCATCATATTGCCAAAAATGTGTGCAAATTATTTCCAACCCGTAACAAATAATAAAGCAAGTGCTCAATGTTGGGGTTCCACTATGAGTAAGAACATATGTTCTTATACTTATCCCAATTGTCTACCAAAGACAAAAGCAAATTTTTTGAATTAATTACGGTTATGGCCCTAAATAAGGTGCAAGTTTTGTACTACACATTTAAGAAAAAAAATCAAAGTAATTACGGGTGAAATAGAGATATGGTTGTAATTAGATGCGTGAAAAATGAATTAGATGGGACAATGACACAGCATATTTGGGTTACATGTTGATCTTGATCCTCAAATATTTTAGGATAAGAGTTATGATCAACTTTAAATTACACAAGCAAGAATAAGCAATTTTCCTCTCAATTACTCTAATGTTATTACAACTTAAGGGAACTGCTGTCCACAATTTCATACTTCCTCAGATGTATTATCTGATGTTTCTACTTCCTAACTTTCATTACCCTATAAGGCAATGAAAGGCATTTGTGCTTACCACAATTCTACCCGCCTTCTGCACATGTTCAAACCACAATCTATCTAATGTGAGTAATCAAAAAAACAATTTTGCACAATTTATAGTTGGTAAAATTGATTCAAATTTCAAATAATCATCCAATATGTTTAAACCCAATCTAACTAAATTTGGTTTGATAAAAATAATAATAATCTAAAAATGGCAAGTATACTTGAATCCGTCAAGTTTCAACTTAATTTGATTTTATAGGGTCAAGTTTTTTTAATTGGGTTCATAGTCAAGTCAGGTTTTTTTTTTTTTTAAAATCAAAGTCAAATCAGAGTCGAATTTTAGACAAACCTAATCTTATCCGAACTAATAAATATATATAATAATTTTTTTATTTAATTTTATATTCTCATATATGTGTTATATTAATAAAATTATCATTTAATACTTTAATTTAAGATATAATTAAAATATAATTTATATTAAAAATAATATTTTATTAATAATATATTAAATTAAAATTATTAAATTAATTTCAAATTGAATCGGTTGTGGTTTTATATGTATGTAAATTTAATGCAATTTTAATATCAAATTGAAATTGAGTATGTATTTTATAAAATCGAACCAAACTCGATACGCCGATTACTAATTACTTGATCCAAATCTACATTAGTTCTAATGTAATATGATGATAACTTGAACTGTCCAAAATTAAATTGATTTTATATCTGGAATCAAAATAATTTGAATCCAAAAAACTGACCAAACCTAAATAATACCATCCAAATTAAATGACCCTAACCAAACGTAACCCAACCTATCCAACTGTCACTGCTATCAATTCGTTATACCTTAACCTTATTATCCGAAAGTGAGTTTTAACAAGCTCCAATCATTTTACCCTCGAATTAATAATACAGAAAAAGAGTACGAAAACAAACTGGTTTAAAATAGTATCAATAGGGAAACAATCATACAAGCAAAGCTTAATTTATTGGTATCTGACTTAATGAATTTCTGTGTACACAATGTGCTTGCGTGAAGCACATAATTATTTGTAGAAACACCAAATTGAAAGAATTATATTACTGCAATTGGAAATTAAGCCAATGCAATGAGAGACAACGAGTCAAAAGCCCCATTTCTAATGCTTAATTTAATCATAGCTTTAGAGATAGTTGCAATTTTATTATATAGAAAATTGAGGATGACAAAAAGGGTTATATCATAAAACCTTGTTCTAACTTGCGTGCAAATGATTCTTGGTATGATAAAGCAGCCTAGTTGCTTGACTTCAAAGCGTGTTTAAAAAATAAATAAACAATTAAACCACAAGAAAAACATGGGTCAAGCAACTGAAATTTTGATCTATTTTATGCCAATGATTAATTAGTTTAGCGTACAGACATTTGAATAACCATGTTGAACGTGAAAGTTTGACTCCAATTTCATCCAAAATCGATCTATATCTTAATAGTTTAGTTTATCTTGATCATGATATTGCATTAGGCTTTTAGCTTTTCACCTAACCATTTTCTTTTCCACGTGTTCGTGGGTCCAATGTGAGGAACAGACAATATGGTCTCTTGCATAATCCATATCAATATCAATATATAATGGTGGAAAATGCCCTTGTCACTAAATCCTTTCTTAAGAGCTTGGAGGCCTAATTTTAGTGATATAGGCTGACAAATGGTAGGAAAAGAATGCCCATATATAATATCAGTAGAGCTTTTGATTGTTAGTGGAAACTCGAACTCCTTGTGTAAATTGATTGGTTTTAATGATGTCTAATGTAACTTTATTATAGCACATCTGATTATGGAATTGGTAGAAATTAGAAAGATTGGTGTTATCAACTATAAATGCTACATTTAGTCCATGATTTTGCATTTCTATGGCAAAATCATGTAGGATGCCTTGAGAACATCTTGGCTGCAAACTGGCTGTCAAATTCCAATTTACAGTAAAGATACAGAGAGTAGGGGCCTTTGGGATTGTGGATAGAAGCCCAATTGTGCAGCAGAATGAGCTGAGTTCGAGTCCAAACCTGCAAATGAGTCCAATGGCCGTCCCAGTCGAACCACTCAAAGCCCACAGTGAGACCTGAAATCATGTCATGTCCTTAGCACTAACGTTGATGCAATACCCTTTTCCTGTGGAAAATGGCTTGATGCTTGCCCACACTTCCAGAACACTAACTTCAGGATTCTTTAGATTAATGTTGGGCATCTATTTCCTGGTTCAGGTTTTTAGGTCATCAGAATTAACTACACAATTAGAATGCCAGAGCTTGGAAAAGAGAACTTTTCATTGATAACTAAACTACACGAATATAACATTAAACCATTTTCCCATCCCAAACAACAAGTATATGAGTACATTTTCTTCCTGTAAACAAAAACCATGGGAAATGGGAAGGATTACAGCCAAAATTCCCCCATCAGGAGCAACGAAAGGTTGTAACTTATAAACTCGTCAAGCAACTTGTTCATTTATATTGTCCTTTCTAAAAAGGTCAAGACGGCTATCCCCAAGCCTGAGAGAATATGAAGCTCCCTTGTATTCACCCCAAGTAAAAGGCCTGTAAAGCAAAGGCTTGTGGGATGTGACCAACTCAGCAGGAGCAGTGACCCAAGCATGGAGTGGTGGTGCCCCAAAATAGGCCATTGACATTCTTGACTTGTCGTAATTGGTCAAGGCCCTGTGCCTCACGCTCACAAACCTCCCATTGGTCATAGCCTTCAAAAATATACGAAAATATAGATGTAGTATTAGTTTATGGTTGCTGTAGCTTAGCTTACAGTAAGAAATTGTTCACCATGGCTAGGATTCTTACTTTTAATATTTCAACTTCATAAAGGGGAATGTCTCTGAATGTAACTTTAATTACAACCATTTTTCGTTACAAAATAAAGTATAGCTGAAAAAATAAGTATGTGCCTGCAGGGCATAGAACCTATAAAGTGCCAGTTAATACGTTGCAGTTTATGTTCCCCCAACTCTGAAATGTCACCCAAGATTGTTTCTAGTGAAAAAGGGAAAAAGAAGAGATGTTGGTAACCGTTAGCAAATTTTCTGGATTTCCATAGTTTTGCTTGCAAGAACTATAAATGGTAATACAGCCTAACCAACAAGAAACAACCAGAAACTTTTTCAGTTCCATTTGTTCTCAAGCAAAGTTAAAGTTCATCAATTACGCAAAGTCCCCAGATAGAAACTGATACGTGGGGTCCTTTTTTTATAGGGTGATCAATCCAAAGCTACAGTAGAAAATTGCAGTGATTCCCAACGCAGATATCAGTTTTCTATCAATCCAATTCACCTTTTAATTTGTTGTTATAATTACCATGAGAGAGAAGAGGAGTAGAAATGGACTGACCTGCAAAACATCACCCACATTAACACAAAAGGCCGTTGGGTCAGGAGGAACAGGAACCCACACCCCATCGCGCAGAGAAATTTGCAAGCCACCCACACCGTTGGATCTCAAGATGGTCAATATCTGAGGGTCAGTATGCTCCCCAAAACCAACCTTGTTGCTTCTGTGACCATGAAATGAAGAAGGCGAGGTTTCCCCATCTTTGCAGGGAATGGGTGGATAGTGATTGAGCCTGAAAAGTGAGTCACTTTCACCGTCCCTGATCATCCTGCTAAACACTGATGAATCATGGACCCACAACCCCTCTGCCATTAGATCCAAGATCTCACATGCCAAGTCCCTAACTGCGTGTATGTAACCACTCACGGAAGAGCTTCACCGTACACAAAAAACAATCACCATCACACATCAGAAAAAAAAGTAACTAAGCAAACAGGACCAGCAGAACTAGAGTTGTAGGCTTAGGTTAAAAACTCCACTGTTTCGGACTGAAGCACTGTACCCATATATTTTAGCCTTTGCTTTTTTTAGTTTTTCTTTTTTGGTAATTGCTTTGTTTAGCAAGATAAGTCAATTGTTACTTTTCTCCATTTTGGGGTTTTTTCTCTCTTTTTTAAAAAAAAAAAAAAAACTCCTTTCAAGACCCTTTTGATTTGATTAGACCATTCTGATGCAGCCCTCTTGCTCAGACTTGTCATTCTGATTTCCAATCCTTTATGTCATGGTACTTTCCATGTTTCTTACACGGGCCTCCTCAGGAGCGTGAACTAGACCTGACAAACACAGGGAAGTGTCTTTGCCATGATATCCCACCTAGCACGAGAAGAGAGGAGAACTATATCCCACATACCACCGTCCCATTTGACTTGAAGGTATTTTAAAACTAATGTGCATTCATCGATTTGAATCTATCTCTTTTATTCCTATTCAACCAATGAAAAATTATTTTTCACTTACATAAAGTCTCAATTCTTTACCCAAGTAAAGAGAAACAAGACATGATCTGCGGTTGAATTCTTCTCAAAGCTGTTCTTGACTGAGACCAATGTTTTTAGTAGGATGAATTTCTATGTATATGATAGAATTACACTATAAAGTTCATTCATACTGTCATAATAACCTTTGGTTTTCGGGCTAAATAAAGAAAAAAAAAAAAAAAACAACCAAGTTGAACAAAGAAATTTTCAGTTTCACCAATTAAGTCTGAAAGGATACTGTAGTAAAAAACTAAAAACACAATACACAAATCTACCCGTATAAACTTGCTTAATTTCATTAAGGATATTTTTTTTTAATGTATAGCGGTAACATTTTATTTGGGTACTTTTGAAAGGCCATACATCAGCAAAATATAGTAACCATTCCATTTAAAGGAGGCATAGTTGGAGTTGAATGCGATGGGATAGAAAAGGAGATATACAACTCATCCCAACATAGTTCCAAAAGCCCACGTTCATGGATTCATCAATTTGAACAAATCAGTAGGAAAAAGCGTGCTGGCAAAGAGCTAGCTTAGCTACTGAGCATGGCCCAAACTCATGACAAATTTTAAATATATCTATCAATATATAGCTTATACATATACTACTAGTGCACCGGTACTTTGTTTTTCTTCTCTTTTTCCCTATCTATCATTTGGCTGCCATTCAAGAAAAGGGCAAACAACTAACATGCAAACAATTGAAGTATGAAAAGATTGAAGGACAATGATGTACCTGAACTTTTTGGGGTCATTGGAGATGTTATTGGATATCTGAGAAATGCATAGAGGGTTGGTATCAAGCAGAAGATATTCAACTTCTCCAATATCACCTCTGAAGCCAATGTTTTTGCAACCATAACCAAAAGGACTGGCAGGTCCGGCTCTTTGTTTCTCAGAAAGTGGCTTTGTAAAAAAGTTGAGACCTTCCTCTTCCATTTGGGCAATGATATCCTCAGAGACTCCATGGTTGATCACCTTGAAAAAACCATACTCTTCACAGGCTTTTACAATGAGGTTTGACACCTCTGATCTCTCAGCTGAAAGGTTTATGACAGGAAGCTCAATGGGTTGAACCTTTTCAGCCCGAATTGGGTTTGGCGAAGCCACCATCAATAGCTTCCAACAACACCAAGAACAATAAACTAAATGAAAAACCAAAGACTTTACAGATTCTGATAAACTATTGATAATATAAATAAAGAGAGAGAGAGCCAAAAAAGACGGCAAAAGAACTTTGATGGTAATGGAGAGGGCCGAGAAGTTGCAAGAAGATGAAGCATAAGGGCCAAAGGGTGTGTTTAAAAAGAAGTTTGAGAGACTACGATACTGAAAGAGAGAAACAGTGAAAACTGAAGGGATTCAATAAATCTTCATTTTTTTTTTTCTTCTTGATGATTCAGGGAATCGAGGACTTTGAGATGAAGTACACCTGTACAAGCAGTAGCAAACTCCTGTATCAGAAAATCATTGACTTTGTTCAGCCGGCTTTGACTTTTTTTTAATCCATCTAATATTTTTTGACGTGAACGTTACTTTAAACCATTTTTATTTATTAATATTAAGCTTTTATGACTCCAATGATCCTACAAAAATCAAACTTTGATTAATGATGAAGGAACTTTCTCCCTTGCTGAATTTATCCCCAAATATATTGAGTGTCGACATGAGCCCCCGTGGCACAAATTAATTAGCCTTTGCTGGCAGTTGTGTTAAACTTGTAAAGGAATTGAACATAAATAAATATATATTTATAATTTATTTATTTATTTTTTAAAATATTTGAATTTATTTCGTATTAGATAAAAAATTTATTTTATTCATTTAAATTTGATTCATTCAAGTAATAAGATATTTACTTTTGGTTCATATTTAATTAAATTAAATTAAATTAATTTATTTGTAAATATTAAATAAATATATTTATAAATATATAAAAATAAATATATTTATAAATAATAAATAAATTATAAATGAACATAAAAAAATATTTCAAAATAGGATTAAAGTAAAAAATAAAAATATAATTTTATTAATATATTATAAATATATAATAAATAAATAACAAACGAATAAATTTTAAATAAATTTATTTATAAACATAAATTAATAAAAATACATCTCTATTCATATTTAATTTATTTAATAAATAAATATAAAAATATTATTTAAAATTATTTATTAAAATTAATAAACGAATATTAAAAAAATAAAAATTAAACATACTTATAAATATATCATCAAAAAATTTATTCGTTTACATCCAACATTTTCCTCATATTTGAAGAACAGCATTTCAAACTCCACGTGTTTTTCTTCTTTTATTATAACAAAATTATTATTATTATTATAACTGGGTTTTAAGGTTTTTGCTGGGTTTTGCACATTTCAATGGCACCAACCCACTACAGAGTCAAGATTTACCTAACTCTGGACATACATTGTCAAACTACTATACTTGGATATGATCAAAATGCAAAAAGAAGCCCTTAATCTACTTTTACTTACCCTTCTTTAGGTTTATTTTAATTGTTCTCTCTTCCATTAATTTATCCACAAGTAACTCGATATTATTGCTGGACGAGATGGGTGTTTGAGTGTACAATTAGGCTTACGAAATCTGACAATAGTTCCCCAAATTTGGTACCTAATAATGTAGTTAGATGGATTAAAGTAAGGTAAGGGTAAACCAAACTGCTTCCAATATTACCATATTTGGGAAATTAAAAAATTGTTGTTTGACCCCTAAACAAATTATAGGGTTCTTATTCCCATGTAGCTCAATGGAAATTTTTGGCAAACATTATTAATTGATTCAGAAAATTATTAATGGAAAATATACAATTTTTTTTAATTTTTTAATGAGTTTATATATATATATATATGTTCATATGCTCAAAAACTTTTTTAAGTAATCTCAAATGTGATTATTAATTTTTTGAAGTATGAAGTCAATTAAGGTTAGGGGTAATAATGGTTTGGTTTAGAACAAATTTGAGTTGATTTTTTCATATATTACATAATATTATAAAATTTTAAAATTTAATCATAATTCGAATTGAACCAAATCAAATTTTATCGGTTCTGTTTATCTTTTTTATTTTTTAAATTTTAAATTTTATATATTATTTTAATATAAAATTTTAATATATTTATTTAAATTTTGATATAAAATTATTTTTTATTTTATAAAAATCTAAAATATATATAGATTAAAAAATATATAATTCAATTTGATTCGATTTTTTATCTTTTGATTTAAATTTAAATTTAAATTTAATATATATCTATTTAATATTTAAACTTAATCCAAATCAAATAAAATAATATTAATTTAAATCAAATTGAATACTACAAATTTAAATCGATTATCAAATTTTTTTATTTTTTTTCTCACCCAGATTGCAATAACAATTGTATTTTGATGATGATGAGGTTTATTTATTGCCTTTGAGTGCCACGTGGCAGTGGTGGCCCATGTCAAGCCCAATTACATGCGTACTTTCTAGCAGTTCAACGGTCCAACCGACCAACAGCACATTTGATAGGGATGCAAACAATTTATTAATTTAACCAATACATGCAATAATTGAAGAGAAAAATATCAGGATATAATTTAATTGAATTAAATAATTATTTTGAAAATATAATATTTAATAAATTAAAATTTTAAATTTTAAAAATTACTATCTCTCTTCCCTTGATTAATTGTTGCATATATTAATTTTAAACATGAATATATTATATTTGAAGTTATTTAACAATTAAAATTGATTATTGAAACTAAAAATATAATATTTTATCACTAGATTATAGGATTATTGTTAATTGAAAAACAAATTAAATGGTTTTGAAATTTGAAGTGAATGGAATAGTATACATGCATGCATGTGATTTTGTCAAAATAAGGGTAGCAAGAAATCATGGCAAGAAATCATATTCATTGGAATGGAATTAGGAACCCTATAGTTAAGTAGGGGGCAACAAGAATATGGACCATGGACCTAAAGGAGGAGACATATCAAGCATGCCTAAGCCTTAACTACCATCGACCACAGCTTTGATTGTGAAGTTGACAAATTTTAACGTTTCTTTTTTAATTTGTATATGTTAAGTTGTTGCTTTTCGTATTTATCAACTCGGATGCCATCAAATAAAGAAGAGAAATTAAGAAGGTTTTTTGGTTATTCAAATTGGCATAAATGAGAAAGCATGGGTTCATCTTTGATAGTAGGTTCCTATGTAAGCCTATTTACTTTTTATTTTTTTTTATATTTAAATTTATCATACATTAAATTATGATTTTTAAAATTAATAATTTGGTAATTTTTTTTTTTTTACATAAAAAGCTAAGACCTAAGTGAAATTAAAAAAAAAAAATTGTAAGTATTGAATATCGAACTCTCATTTTACAAAAAATCACATCATAAATAAAATAAATAAATCATTTTAGTTAAATTTCACATTCAATAATTCGGTAATCTACCGACAAGCAGATATTTGTCAAATTAATGAATGAAATTAAAAGAAAATTCTGAAAATCATTTTTGATCTTTGACAATTATAAAATTTATGCAATATTAATCAAAGAAAACGATAGGTTAAGCATCATATAACATTTATTAATAAACAATGGAAGTCAACAAAAAGATAATGTTTCATTTTCATTCCTATTGAAAAAAGCAAACTATTTTTTTCAACATCTCTAACTATAAGTAAATGATCATTTTACCCTTTTAATTCTTTACCAATTGCTTAACATTTGTTATAAAAGTCATAATTTCTAGAAGAAAATCATCTTTGCTTTATATATGCAGTTCACATGCATGCATAATACAAATCATTTTTGTCAAAAAATGGAAACCAAAGGGAAAAAATCTTAAAATAAAGGAAAAAATTATTTCTAAAAGTAAAGAATATTCTTTGGAAATCATGTAACAAATATGTATAGTATCTAGATATTTATTTATAGTTAATAAAATAGAAGAAATTTATTATTATTATTATTATAATTGGATGTTAGCTGAGGTGAGTTTTCAAAGTCTTTTTCTGAACGAAACCTATAGAAAATGATATGGGTTGAATAAATTAGGGTTCATTTATATGTCAAAGTCATTGACAGTTGGAAAGTTTGGAAGAATTTTTGGTCTTTTTTTTTCCCCAATTTTGTTATGATCATATATGATTGATTAACTTACTAAATTAACCAAAGGGTCGATTCGTTAAGAGCAAAGCTTTGCATATGAACAAAGAGCATCGGATGGGAAATATTAGTGGATAATTTCAGAGATTAAGAATCCAAGATTACGTAAACGGATGCATTCGTGCGGTTGTCTCGCAGCTAATCATGAATTACTATGTTTAAGTATCAAAGTCATTAATAAAGTTTCTCAACAAAATAATAATTAATAAAGTTAGATATTTAATCTACCAGTTTGATTTTTGATTTTCGATTTGAGTTTTTATTTATTTATTTCGAATAAAAATTTCACAAACTTTATTTATAAAAATTTCATGTAAATCTTTGCATTTCAGAAATATAAATTTTTTTATTCTTAAATTGTGATATTTTATATAAAAATATTAATAATATTATTAGAAGTGTAAAGAAATCCTTGTTTAAAAAGAAGTGATTTATTAAGAAATTTTGCCTCATATTTCACCATGCATGCTGTTGTAGACAAAAAAAATACATAGTGTATAGTTGAAATTTGTGAATAATAACTTTTGATAATAAATAATTTTATAAAAGGGACATTTTTTAGCTTAAAATTTATTTTAAAAGTTTCAAGTTCAAATTTTAATGAGATTTATAAAATGAGAGAGAAAAATAATAAATTTATCTCAATAATATAACTCAAATATAGTGAGGAGGAAAAATCAATTTCAATTACTTTATTCATGTTTTTTTTTTTTTTAAGAGTAGGTGGCAATAACAAATATTATTTTTTTGGTACAAAAATGTCATAGTCTGAATATAAAAAAATTATTATAAGTATTAAGATTTAAATTTTAAAATTATTGAATGATATTTTTAAAAAATAATAAAATAAACGGATTGAATTAAATTACGAGTTCATCCTTTTTTTTTTTTTTGGAATAGTTTATGTCATAGTATTAATTGCCAAGGATGTCCAATTATTGGGAGGGATCAGCCTAGCTATGGTGGATAATGTGTCCTTAGACACAAATTAAGGCAGGCAAGCAACAACTCAGATCACAATGCAAAGCTGGCATTCTCTTAGTAGTTACAACTTTGACTACACCTTCCAACAATTCTATACCAAAACCAAAATCAAAATCAAAACCATTTTTTTTTTTTTTTGAAAATACTAGCTACTAATTCACAAATATAAATTCCA